GCTTGATTCTTGATTTGGAAGGAATATACTAATATCCCTTCCAGATGTATTTCAGCCACAGGGGGAGTGGGGGGGGCGTGGAAGTGAGAGAGAGAGAGAGAGAGAGAGAGAGAACTTGATTGCACCTTTGCCTAAATCACTGGGTTAAGTTGGCTACAGTCTCAATTTCCCCAAGTGCTTTTACACCTTTTGTGTTCACTAAAATCACCTGGGGGGCACTTTTTTTTTTTAAAAAGGAAGATACCTGGGCCTTCTTCTAAGTCAATTAAATTCTCAAAGACCAGAAGCTGAATGCTGATATTTATAAGTTTCCAGGAGATTCTGATCCACAGACAGACTAGAACCAGTGTACATAGCAAGTTAGTGATATAGTGAAAAGCCAGCTTTGACAGGAGTCCTGTTTCTTTGAGGATATTTATGGTGGTACCTCCTTCCACCTCTGTAGCCCAAACACAGGGTTTATCCTTAATGTCACTAATCTACTGATGAGTCCAATTGACTCTTCCTTAAAATACTCCCCAGTCTTGCTACTGACCTCAAGCGGGGTTTGAGCTGCCTCGCTCTTCCTCCTGACATTACTCCAACCTCCTGGGGTCTCCTTGTTTCCATCCCAAGCCCTGTGTGTGAGTCATTGTACAGTTGTCAGGACTAGGACATAGCATAGTAGCGCAAGTACAGATCACAAGGCACCCTGTAGATCACAAGCGTGGACTTACAGGATGACAGAAAGCCCATGCAGGCATGGGAAGGATGCAGAGGGATGTGGATCAGAACATTGGGTAAGTTGGGGGAGCAGTCGTTAGTAACAAGAGAGTCTCACAATGATGGAATTTTTTATATCAAGCCTGGAATTTGCCTTCATGTTGTTGACTTGCAGTTCACCTCTGAAGAAGGCTGGAGCAGGATGGTGATGAATTAGATCCTCATTTTAGAAAAACAATTTCTGCAACTTGTCTGCGGGGAAGCCAAAGGGATGTGACTTGGAATTTGAGGTCTCCTTCTCTGCATTACTGGCCCAGCATTCAGGGTCTTGTGGCCTATCCCCTCTAAGCCCTCCGTCCACATTCTTGGTCCTGCCTCACTAGATGGCTAATGGCCACATAGACAGAAGCCATGAGCAGGGGTCAAGTGTTTCTGTATGAAAAGGATTTCCTCTCATTGTGATGAACACTGTACATGCCCATGCTGGGCAAGAGTAATTATGAAAATTTAATGTTATAATTTGGAAAGCCCCATAAAATCATGGGACTTTCCCCTGATTACATGCAAATCTATAACCATCAGATAAAGAGAGCCACAGTTCATCACCTCAGAACAAATATATGTCTTCTCCAAGTGAGGTCATATGTGAAAGATCCCCAGTGGTGCATGATGGCCCCTGCCCTTCCTGAATTATCTCAAGTCTGTCTGTCTGACCACCTGATTTCCTATGTTGCAGATACCTCATTCCTGCTCCATGTACACCAGCCTTTCACACACTCACTCTTCTCAGACTGGATCTTACATCTTCTTAGAAAGGTGTTTTCTAGTGGGAGAAAATATTTGCCAATTATACATCAGACAAAGGACTGATAACCAGAATATACAGGGAACTTAAAAAACTAAATTCTCCCAAAACTAATGAACCAATAAAGAAATGGGCAAGTGAACTAAACAGAACTTTCTCAAAAGAAGAAATTCAAATGGCCAGAAAACACATGAAAAAATGCTCACCATCTCTAGCAATAAAGGAAATGCAAATTAAAACCACACTAAGATTCCACCTCACCCCTGTTAGAATAGCCATCATCAGCAACACCACCAACAACAGGTGTTGGCGAGGATGCGGGGAAAAAGGAACCCTCTTACACTGTTGGTGGGAATGTAGACTAGTACAACCACTCTGGAAAAAAATTTGGAGGCTACTTAAAAAGCTGGACATCGATCTACCATTTGATCCAGCAATACCACTCTTGGGGATATACCCAAAAGACTGTTACTCCAGAGGCACCTGCACATCCATGTTTATTGCGGCACTATTCACAATAGCCAAGTTATGGAAACAGCCAAGATGCCCCAGCACTGACGAATGGATTAAGAAAATGTGGTATCTATACACAATGGAATTTTATGCAGCCATGAAGAAGAACGAAATGTTATCATTCGCTGGTAAATGGATGGAATTGGAGAACATCATTCTGAGTGAGGTTAGCCTGGCTCAAAAGACCAAAAATCGTATGTTCTCCCTCATATGTGGACATTAGATCAAGGGCAAACACGACAAGGGGATTGGACTATGAGCACATGATAAAAGCGAGAGCACACAAGGGAGGGGTGAGGATAGGTAAGACACCTAAAAAACTAGCTAGCATTTGTTGCCCTTAATGCAGAGAAACTAAAGCAGATACCTTAAAGCAACTGAGGCCAATAGGAAAAGGGGACCAGGAACTAGAGAAAAGGTTAGATCAAAAAGAATTAACCTAGAAGGTAACACCCACGCACAGGAAATCAATGTGAGTCAATGCCCTGTATAGCTATCCTTATCTCAACCAGCAAAACCCCTTGTTCCTTCCTATTATTGCTTATACTCTCTCTACAACAAAATTAGAGATAAGGGCAAAATAGTTTCTGCTGGGTATTGAGTGGGGGAGCGGGAGGGGGCGGAGTGGGTGGTAAGGGAGGGGGTGGGGGCAGGGGGGAGAAATAAACCAAGCCTTGTATGCACATACGAATAATAAAAGAAAAATGAAAAAAAAAAAAAAAAAAAAAAAGAAAGGTGTTTCCTGGCCAATCTATCCAAATGCATCTCCTCCGTTGGTCCCTAGAATAGTTTGCTTCCTTCTTAACACTTAAAACAATCCCAAGTTATCTTATTTGTGTTTTCTTCATTAGAATGTAAGGTGCAGGGACAGAATGCTTAGCTGTCTTCCTCATTGACTGTGTGCCCAGCACCTGGCACGTCAGAAGTTCTCCACTAAAAACCAGCTGAACAAAAGGAAGCAGGAAGTGCAGAAGACCACTCGTGCTGAAAATCCATTCACGCAAATACACTTTGTCCATGTGAAGATACACTGTATTGATGCAGCTGAAGTTAAAATCTTGACTGAAACTGATAACAAGGACAGGTACAGTCATAGATCCCTCCTCCCACAGCACATACCCACACCTGACTAGAGAACTTGACAAACAGTCACGCACATGCTAACCGATCACTTACATGGATCCCCTTTCACTCAGGGTTTGCCAGTGATCCACCAAATGTGAGAGTCTACTGTAATTATAAAGTCGCAATGTTGATGTCACAGTTGTCTATTGAGATAAGCCCCATGGCATTACAACACAATGCTGTTCCCATGTCACATAGGTCCCTATTCTTAAATAATGCCACAAACATGGAGTTATCTGAGTGCAGTTTATTTTAGAAACATGACAGTCACCTTCCTGGTTCTGGATCTGGAGTGGAATCACACAGAAATTGGGAGTTGTACTGAACAATAATAGTTTCTGTTAGTTTTCTATAAAGATGGTAGTCATATCTGAAACCATTGGGTAGTAAGGAAGCTGGGCTGGCAATGGATATACCAGTTCTTCCTTGATCACATCTTATGATGTCTGCTAGGCATCCAGTGGACAGGAAGGACAAAGCCATGATTGAAACCCAGAGCAGACCTGAAGTGACCTACACCAATGGAAACCCATCACACTCAGAAACTTCATGTTGACTCCCCCCAGCTTGGGTTGCCAGATGAAAGCCAGGACTCTGGGTTAAATCTTCATGTCAGGTAAACAATTCTGGGACATGAAGACTTTTTCAGTGTAAGTATGTCCCAACTGTTTACCTGAAATCCACCCTTTACCAGGTATTTGGTATTTTATTAGCTAAACTGGCAATTCTGTTCCCAGGAACAGTCCTCATAATGGCTTCTGCCAATCAAGAAAGTTTAGATTGTTCCACATTTTTATATTATAAATATTTTAAATGCACGTGTTCTTATCAAATAATATCTTCCTCTTTTTCTGCACCTATCGTATGGTTTCTAATATTGCTGCTTAGTAGCAATATGATATTTTTTTCAAGATCTTAAGTTTCCTCCCAGGAAGCATCATCAATACCACCATGTTGGACTTGCCCTTTGTATCTTTAATTCACGACACCTCCATCAATCTGAAGGGTTTTTTTTTCATACAGATTCTGTTATTTGGCTCCTTTAGTCAATCCCTCAACTTTTCTTAATACTCAATTTGAAATGCAAATGCTTTAGAAATAATGATGTAAATCATCCTACCAAAACCCAAATAAAGGTGGTCCACTGCAACCATTCCAGAAAGCTACATGGGATTTTCACAATCTCAACTGGTCTTTTAAAAGAGTCTGCTTTCTGTCATGGAAAATGATCAAAAAGTTCTTCCGCATGCTACAAGGACAAAACTGTCCATGTGATCTCCCCAAGGGCTCACATTTCTATAGGTTTTATCACTTTCCAACTGTTCCTACAAGTTTCGAAATCTAAATGTAAACTTGGCAGACAAAACTCAAACAAATATTTAACTCAATCATTAGTAGTTCAATTATTTTATAGTATTCTTTTACATCATAGAAATGCAAATCAAACGTGTTAAAGTAAGAAAAGTTTAGATTATATTAAAACATATTATGAATTTTTTAAATCGCATGAAAACATTTCTACCAATAATCGATTAAGACGACAAAATGCTGGTTAAATATTCAATAGACATGAATATTAAAAAAATACCAATCATTAATGTAAAGATGGAAGTTGGATAGCCAGAAATGTAATCCTTGGTGCCTGCTGAGTCACTCATTAGACTGTCCCATCAAAATTGAATTGTACTTAAGTTCCCAAGAATAAGGCTTTCATTCTCAGAGGATAAAGTTAGCATTGAAATAGGTAAAGAGAAACTTTGAATAACAGAATATGATGCAGTTAACATGATTTTGAAACTAGCCAGCCCCCAAGCTGAGGACAAAATAAAAACAAACAATAAAAACCCCTGCTGACCTTCGAGTTGATGCTCCTTCCTGTGGTCCCCAGGTCCCCACTCAGAAGAGAGGCGCTGGCAACTTCGTAAGCTCCTTCCTGGTCCCATAAGCTCACCCCTGAATCAAAAGAAAAGAAGCCGCATTTTCATCCTGGTTGGAATGAGCGTGGCATCAGAAGTTTGCTACATAAATGACATGGTGAAAATATCTGGAGGCAGAATAAGTACAGGGAAACACTAATCCATTAAATCCAAGAAAGAGTTAAAACTGATGGGTTCTCTGTCCATCCCACCATTAAAATATTGCACCTTACAGAAAACAAATTTACATTTTCCCCTCCAGATCTATACCATGGCTGGGTTTTATCATAGTTGAAGTCTATAATTCCATCCTTCAAGTAAGCAATAAAAACCCATAAGCAGTGACTTTTTAAAATGATGAATTAACCCTTTACATGAGATTAGTTCTCAAAGCCTCAAGATTTTAGCTGTATGAAGACTAAATCCACCAACTTAAGTCCCAGCGAATCTGTTAGACGCAATGCCAATTTTCTCCCTGTACTTAAGAAGTCTAATTTTATATGCTTCAGTAAGTGATTCTATAGACAAAATTAATTTACAGTTCAGACTGACTAGACTGGTTTATGTAAAAAAAAACCTCAATTCATTCAATAAACTGTTATATGCTCTTGTTTCTCAGTGCTGTCTGTTGAACCAGTTACTCTACCAACACAGGCTCAGTTTGACCCCATTTCCATAAACAATCTTAGTGGAAAAGATAACATTTTCTCTTCTGGAGAGAGTTATCACTTTCTTAACAAACACAGTGATTTTTCTAGGCTTGCTCTCCTGAAGTCACACACCTGCTATTCAGAACAGCCACACTGTACCCCAGAAGTGAAGGATGGGACCAGATTCCCTCATGTGCTATTCTCATTTCTTGAGCCAGGAATCATGATTTTCAGATCTGAGTCATCACAGCACAGTTTAGAGTTACTAAAGAGTTCTCATTTATTGGGCACAAACGGTATTGAAATTTTAATCCTAGACATTTTATAATTCCCCCAATACTGTTAAATCCACACCATTTTATCATTCTCGGTGTGGAAGTCTGCAGTCATAGTCAGGTTACAAAAGGAGTACTACTGGAGCATTCACTGTCTGACACAGGCTTTCCAGAACTTTCTGAAGCTGGTCTTAAGCATTCTAAAACTGCCAGTTATTGAAGATCAAGGATGAAGAGGTCAGGAATATGACCAGAGGCAGAGGGATGAGCTGAATCCCTCAGTTACATAGGAAGATAGAACCATGGTAATGTGGTCACAGACCAAGTGAGGAGGGAAAGGCAAGGGGGAACTCAAGGCTGGAATGGATCCAAGTCCCCAGAAATAAACCTGTAGACAGAAGATGAGAGTCCCATCCATGCCAGCAGAGAGGTCTGGCTCCAGGTGGTGACACCTGTGAACATCTGTGGAGTGCTAACCGGAAGGGGAAGGGATGGACTATCTGAATGAATGCAAGATACCAGAAGTCCTCCCAGCTACAGAGATCTTCAGTCAATGAGCCTCCTCCCATGACTCCAGTTTGTGGTCTGCAGAGTGCTCACAAGTAGCACGGCAGGAGTTTGCAGCTATAGGTCCCTGGTCCTACAGCTTGTCTGTCCATTCACTTGCCAAGTGCTTACTAAAAGCTGGCTTTGACATGGGCTTGCTTGTAGGATCTTTAGACCTGATGCTTCCACTCAAAACACCCATTGTGTGTACTTCAGGCCAGCACACCTATGTGCATCCATGTACACTACGATAACTTTCATTTATTAAACACAGCTTAAAATTCAGCCACCTCAGTCCTATTCATCTAAGACAGGGACACAGCTGCCCTTTGGTGCAAATTCTCATACTGGCACAGAAATAACCAAACCAATATAGGCTGAGCATCACTACTCTCAAATGATCTCAACTATGACACTTTTTGGCATCACAAGTGGAAAAGTCTACACCTGATCTCTTGTGATGGGTGTCAGTCAAAAGGCAGGTGCACTAAATATGTTGAATGTAATATGGTATGTGTATAAGGCATATATGAAATATAATTGAATCTTGTGTTCACACTTGGGCCCCATCCCCAAGACACCTCTTTAAGTAGATGCAAATATTTCACAACAAAAGAAGTTCTATAAAATCCAAACTCTGAAATACTTCTTGTCCCAGGGGACCCGATAAGGGACACTCAGTTTTGAAGACCATTTTGGAGAGCAGAAAGTGTTACAAAAGAACAGGACTCTGGGAGACCCTTTATCATGTTTGCAAGTGTCCTGCAAATCCAATCTTATTCCAGGATAAAAATTAAAGAAGAAAATTGGGGTGACAGGAGTGTGGCTAGGAATGGCACCCTTGATGGCTAAGCCAGGGAAGCCCTTTGTGGTGGTGGTTGGAGCTGGGGAGTGCATAAAGCTGAGACCAAAGATGGGACACCTCCAGCCCCAATGGAAGGTTGAAGATCACATCAGCCAAGACAGGATGAGTATTGTCCTTTTCCTGAAATAGGCAGAGCATGGCAAGTTGGGAAAATGATCCATGGATGCTCTTCCACAAGAAGGCTGGTGCTGGCCTTTTTATCCATACAGCAAGCAGTGAGGTTATCCAACAGCAAAAAAGCTGGAAGTTCTTCCCAGTATAAGCTGTGCACATTTATTATTTAGACAACAGTGAGTTTTGTCAATGTCCAAACTTATATTATGCAAAACAAAATGTATGTGAAGCTACCATGGGAAGTACAGCTCAGCCTCAGCTGGCCGATGTCAATGGCATAATTCTTGAAGCTTTGTAACACCTGGGTCTCTTGCCCAGGATCCCATGGAAGTCAGAGGCTGGAGTGGGTTCAGATCCATTTATGCAGTTCCTATAGAGTCAGACTCCAGTGTGCATACTGCAATTAATTGCAGATAACAGAGAGGGGCATGCTATTCAAGATGTTATATTTGCAATTCCCCTGTAAATCCAGAATTTGAAGTAGTATCATGGAGATCCATCTGAACTTCTACACACAGACACGCACACTCTCTCCCTCTCCCTCTCTTTCTGGGTGAGCTGGGGGTTGAATTCAGGGCCCTGCACCACTTGAGCCATGCCTTTTCAGACCCCAGTGCTCCTATTTCTACTTCGTGCATAGTTTGGATTACAGGTGTGTCCTACCACACCCAGCCAGAACTTCTCCCCCCTGACCACTGAAAACCATGCCATATGCCAAGTGTTACTGTGGTCATCATAGTGCTCTTTGAAAAGCCAGGTAAAACTGTCAGAGTGATTACAGGCTCTTAACATTTCCTCCACATAAATAAACCAGTTGAATTACAAACTACTCCTGGCAGCTTTGACTTAAGTTTGCAACAAAGTCAGTTTGGTGAATGAATAGGAAACTCTGTTCTTCAAGGGCCTGTTAAATTGGGCAGGGGAAGAGGTTTAACACTGGCATTGTGTGTCTCCTACTAACCACCATGGCAAGCACAGGACAGGAAGTTGCCATGTGCTTCCAGCTGCAGACCAAAAGGCTGGCAAGATTTTCACCAGGCCTCAGATATTGGAAGAAAGGTATTTATTTGCACTTATTAGAACTCACTTGAGAAGCTGTCAAGAGGAAGGAGAGGAAACGTGAAACCCACGTCTCCTACTCAAGCATTAACATGTGCTCTACCAGCAAGGGATCGGGGAAGACAGTAACTCCACGCCTTACCTTTGGGAACACCAGGGAGGACCCAGTAGGGCCTCGGATTTGTTCAGGCTGAGGTTGTACAAACTGGATGTGAAGAACATTCTGAGTCCTCAGGATTGTTTCCTTCAATGTTCTTGGTGGCAGAGAAAGACAGAATCTGACAAAATACTCCAACCACTGAGCAATTCCCTTTTCACCTATATATTCCAGCTTCTTAATCCAAAAGAAGCCCTTTTTGGCTCAAATGGTTTCCTTGAACAGGCTTTATTTCAAAATACTCCTAGGAGAATTTGCAAGCGGACTGTGCCAGCACTTGTGGGACGTTGTGTAACCCTTTTAGGAAATTGAGAAACTGCACTATTTGCTGAGCACAGTATTTACTATCTGTGTAAATGGACAATGAAGCCATCTCTCAGCTTTTTAATTGGGTGCACAATATCCCCTCGGCAGCATCTGAAGTCAGAAGACTGCTTCTTATGAGTTTTGCTTATGTATTTATACACTGGTATTTCTTTTAGATGGTGCAAATAAAAATTTTATTTGTGCTGCATGGATAGACAGAATAAATTATCCACAGCTGTGAGATATCAGAATATACTTTATGGAGTGATCTTGTTGACAAACCATAAAAGCAGGTCTTGAATGATGCATACATTCAAAAAATATGACCTTATAAAACACAGTTTGCATACATTTTGTTTTGTATAATATAAGTTTGGACATTGACAAAACTCACTGTTATCTAAATAGGAAATGTGTATGACTTATACTGGGAGGAACTTCCAGCGTTTTTACTCTTGGGTAACCTGACACACTGCTTGCTGTTGGATAAAATGACCTCATTAAGGAAGAAAGGATAGGAGATATTTTGGTTTCTAACAGAGTTATCTTCTATGGAAGTCAGCTCAGTTTCCTACTGGATGTGTGGCCTGCTTTTCTTGTCTCTTCATCAGGGTTTGTCATCTTTAGACTTGATTAAGTCTGGTCAAGAGGGAAGTTATAGGTCCAGTTTCTCCTCAGGCAAGAGTCTTTATAATGGTGGCTTTGAAGTTATGGAAAAGCTGGCAAAGAAGACACACCCAAAGTGATCCAGGTGGCTCCAATGTGCGCCACCCAGACCCTGGCTGCTACATGAGCCCTGCCACATCCTGGCTCAGCCAATGCCCCTTGGGCAGCTTATGAAGGGAAACACAGCCAAGTGGGAGACACACAGCACAGCATGCAGGTGCCCACCCAGATGCTTCAGTTCTCCAAAGATGGAGATCAGTACCACAGCTGACAGAGGGCAAAGACCATCGGGGACCCACAGGATCCAGGCCTGGTCTAGACTCCTCCTTCACTCACTGACTTTTGTCACTGTCCGAGTCTGGGGTTCACTCTTTACAAGATGAAAACTTTGTT